ATATATATATATACACACACACACACACACACACACACATATACACATACATACATACATACATACAGGAGGATCGGTAGGTAAAAATAAAAATAAAATATATTTTTATTTGTAGTTGGACACAACACCTTTATTTTATTTATTCATTTCTATGTGGTGCTGAGGATCGAACCCAGCGCCTCGCCTGTGCCAGGCGGGCACTCCACTGCTGAGCCACAACCCCAGCCCCCCCAAGCAAGATTTTTGTTGTTTAGTGTTTTTTAGAGAGCATGGATTTTGAATTACTCTCCCTCATGGACCCCAGAAGTGTAAGCACCTATAGAGGACATGCCACTAAAGTACCTCTGTTCTCACCCCTCCCCCCTTTCACAGATGAAAAAACCCAAGCCCCAGGGAAGGGAGGTAATCTCACTAAAGGTCCCATAGCAAATTATTGCAAAACTGAAATGGCCCTAGATCTCTCCTTGTTCTGACTGAGGCTCCCTCTTCTCCACCCTTCTCCAACTATGCACATGCCCCCAAGGCCCTAGCAGAGGTTAAAACATTCCAGAGGTTCTAGCAAGTCTTGGCACCAGAAAGTGTGTAAAGAAGGAAAAACAAAAGGCCCACTGGGAGCAGTTAAGCAACAAAGTCTTGTGTCATCAGGAACCAAAAAAACAAGTCCCCAGTGAGCCTCAGTGAATGTGAGGTCCAAGGTCCTTTGCTGGCCCCAGACCTTGTTCCTCCCTAGGCAGGGGGTTGTTTCTCTTCCCCCTCAGCCTTTCCCTTCTCTAATTTTCCCCATCTCTTACCCCTTCTCTTCAGTCAGCCCCCAAAGCCAGAAAGAAGTGTCTCCTGGTCCACCAGGGCTGAGCTGGACGCAAGACCAGGGTGCTGGGGTTTACCTGCCCGGACAAAGTAGCAGTGCAGGGAGTGCACGTGGATGTCTTCACTCACAGACTTGGCGGCAGCCACCAGGGCCTGGCCCACGATCTGACCCCCAAAGAGCCGCTGGGTGGTGGGTACCCAGTAATGCCTTCCTCTGTGGGGAGAGGAGGAAAGTGGGAAAGACTTGAGGGCTGCTCCAAATTCTGTGTGCCTCCAATGAGCCTCTAGCACAGGACCTCTTATCATTACTGGGATTTGGGATCCTTTAGAGAATTTGCTGAAAGCTGTGGACTCTTTCCCCAGGTAAATATCCTCACCTCACTGTATAAAATTTCACAGCCTTTATGACCATCCAAATCCTCCTGTGGACTCTAGCTATAGAGAAAAGGGACCAGAGGTTGAAAGTGACATGGGCAAGTTCATATTCAAAGTGTTTAAACATTGCCAAGCCTGGGCACTACTTGGGAGTTTTGGTCTCGCATCCAGTGTTTCTTTCTCTACACAAACCAAGGTAAGGCAGAAGCCTCTCAAGGCCTTGAATGGACCAAAATGAACCCCAAGAGCTGAGCAGTATTAAGGTCTGCCACTTACACTCCCAACTGGGACAGCCTATTTCTTCCAATAACTAGTATCAGAACTAGAAGGGCCCTCAGACAGCAAGCTTCTCTCTCTCGGGCTGTAAAATTTTATACAGACAAGGATACTGTGATTCGGCCCCAGAAGTGAAAAGGCTTGGTTGGGCCCCAGATGTGAGAAGATTTGCTCAGTGCAGGAGGAGCCCATGGACTGTGGAGGCTAAAGCCTCCCCTACCCAGCCTGAGTTTATCATTGTCCACAACATCCGGGCCCCCACTGGTGAATTATAATTCCTTAAGTGGGAAGGAAGGGAGACCAAAGAGAGCTTCCATTAAAGCCAGAGGGAGCTTTGGAGGTCAAAGCTGTTCAAAAACCCTGCTGCAGTCACTTCAGTGATGCTGGGAAGGAAGCAGACTCAGGCCTCAGAATGAGTAATGAGCTACCAGACCCCAGCAAATGGTGCTGGGGATGGGGTATGTGAGAGGAAAAGAATAGCAAGTGTGCAGGGAGCTGTGTATAGGTTTTAAGCCTGATCAGCTGTGTGCCCTTGGGCAAATCTCTGCCCTCTCTGGGCTGGCTCCTCCAGTGGAGGTTCAGGGCAGGCGGACGAACAGGGTATCTCAGGTCCCCACTTTATGTGCCCAGACCTCCTAGGTGTCAGAGAGGAACAGCTGTCAGGGACAAGTTCTCTCTTAAATGCAGCATATCTCGCACCTCGCACAAAGCCCGTTCTATTCCCAGAGCTGGGGGCCATGCGGCGGCGACAGTCAAGATCAGGCAACTCGGTACTAAAGGAGGGATGCGAACCAGGTGCGGCTAGCTACCTGAAGAGATCCTCGTCTAGCGGCTCAAGGCTGAGCACGCTGGTGACCAGGACGCTACGGAGGTCCCCGGAGGGATCGCCGCTGTCGCCACTGCCCTGCCCGTCCTCCGGGACCTGTGGGGACGACATCTTGTTTCCTTGCTGTGGGTCGGGACACCGCTCTGAGCTGGACACACGGAGACCTACATAGGATCCCGGCGCTTCCGGCAGACTGCCTTAGCTACCGGAAGTCCCGTACAGATCTCTGAGACTGAGTGCAGGTTATGATTGGCCAGAGCTCCTGTCAGTTGTCGAGTGGGTGTGGCCATCTTTATCTAGCTATTGGTGTAAACAAATGCCAGTCTGGGAATTCCGTGGGTGATTGGGTATAACGGTGAGGGGGCGGAGCCTTGGATATGGATAATATAGGCTGAGTATCATTTCCTTTCAGTCAGATAGCAAAGACGCCCCCAGCCCCAAATAGCTAGGTCCTACCTCGGGAGCCTCTTGAGTTTCGTATTAGGTCACCAGGTTGGGTCGCCCCTTAAGGAGTCCTGGGCCCATGCCAGCCTGTGAACACTCAGTGTGACCTCTGACCCTTGGTGTGATCTTGGACCCAGCGAGGACCAGTCCCTGGCGTGGGCCGAAGGGACAGCCATGGAGCTGGGCAGCTGCTTCAAGACCTACGAGGACTTCAAGGAGTGCTTCAGCGCCTACAAAAAGGAGAACAGGTGCTCCTTCATTCTCAGGGACTGCGTCTCCGTCCGCTTCCACAACCTCAACCACGGCACCTCCATCCGCGAGGACATCCTGTAAGGGCGGGGCGCGGCAGGAGGGTGGGGAGAAGGCCGGTCCCGAGGGCGGCCCGGGGGAGGAGGGAATGCGACGGGTCCCGGCACTGGCACTCCAGGAGCACTTGCTGTGTGCCTTAGGAAATGAGGGAAGCCGCCACAGCATGGCTTTTCGGCCACCCACTTCATTTGCACGCACTGCCTCATGCACAAGCTTTTCTAGCAGTCGTGCCAACTGCGGTTTCTCCAGTGGTTCTGAGCCTCTGCAGCACCCCACGCCCAAAGCGTGGCCTTCACAAATGGATAAAAACGCCTTGGCGATCATTTCCTTCCTTGGTCTCCCCTTAGAATGCGTTAACATGACCATTGGTTGGTTAATTTCGTTCCTTCATTGATTCATTTGGTAAATAGTTCTTGAGCTCTTGACAGCTGTTTTTCCAACACTTACCACACCACGTCTCAGGTAGCGTTCTCTATTCAAGATTTGCTTTACAGAGCGGTTTTAAGAATTATAGATAAATCTTATTCTCATTCGACGGAGGAGGAAACAGGTTTAGAGGCTAGGATAAATTGAAAACTCAAATGCTTTTAGGGCTCAGGCAAACAGCTTAGTGTTAAGGAAGTTTAATCTTGAGGGGGGAGTGGGGGCGCTGACGCAGGAGGATCACAAGTTCAAGGGTAGCCTGGGCAATTTAGGAAGACCCCCCCCCCCCCCCCCAAAATAAAACTTTTTTTTTTTTTTTTTAAGGCCGGAGATGTAGCTCAGTGGTAAAGCACCTCGTTTCAATAAGAAAGTTTAATCTTTAATTTTACTTTAAGAAGACCAGAATGGCTGGGCATGGTAACAAGTGCCTGTAATCCCAGCCACTCTGGGGGCTGAGGCAGGAGGATCACAAGTTGGAGGCCTCCCCAATTTAATGAGGTCCTAAGCAATTTAATGAGACCCTGTCTCATGATAAAATAAAAAGGACTGAGGATGTGGCTTAGTAGTAAAACCGGTTGGGTTCAACCTCCTGTTACCAAAAAACGAAAAAGAAAAATGGCTGAGTGGCCCGTAATCCCACCGACTCGGGAGGTTCACAAATTGGAGGCTTGCCTAGGTAATTTAGCAAGATCGTGTCTGAAAATAAAAATTAAAAGGGACTAAGGATGTGACTCAGTGGTAAAGCACCCCTAGTACCAGAAGAAAAAAAGAAAAAGATGAAATAAAAACCAGTATCAGGACTTTGTGCTGGATAAAGCAGAAATGTGAACAGCGCAAAATTAAAAGCAGGCCCATCTAGTCAACTCAGTGGATGGTTGCTGTGTGAAAATGAAGATTTGATGTTGCTAACATTTTGTTGTCAGTAATCCAGACTACGTCATTTGTCCACTTGTTAGAAATTGGAACTCAGTTCACACTTGAACACATACCACATAAGCAAACTCTGAGAATCAAAGTATATCTTAAGTTTGAGATCTGGATGGAGATGTTTGGCCAAAACTCCCCAACTGGGGAGCCAGACTGTCTTTCACTACTCTTCTGAAGTTCAATGGTAGATTACTGCCTAGCATGCACAACACTTGGTTTTGATCTTCAGTACTGCCAAGGAAAAGAGTTAGGAGGTACACTTGGACTCAAGTGAGCTAACCAGTACAGGATCAGAATACTTAAAAAAAAAAAAAAAAAGAAATTGTTGCCTACTGAACATGTACAGACTTTTTTGTTCTCATTCCCTGCACAATGTAGCATACAACTATTTACGTAGCACATTGTGTTGTGTATTATAAGTAATTTAGAGATTTAAAATTTATGGCAATTTTTTAAAAAATATTTATTTAGTTGTATCTTTTTTATTTTTATTTGGTGCTGTGGATTGAACCCAGTGCCTCACACATGCGAGGCAAGCATTTTACCACTGAGCTACAGCCTCAGCCCCAAGTATATGGCAATTTATATGTAAATACTACATCATTTTATATAAGAGACTTGAACATCTTTGGATTGTGGTGTCTTGGAACCACAACTGTAGGTGATAAATGCTTCAAGAGAGATATAAAAAAAAAAAAAAAGAAATAACAAATGCTGGGGAGGTAGGTAAGGCTTCCCAGTGTGGATGAATGTAGAGGGCTAGAGTAGATTAAGGGTTAATTACTGAGTATCATCTAGGATTTGACCAGAAGGAGCTGTGCATAAAGAGCTGTCAGAACAGACACAGACATATTAAAGAAGGTGGCATGTTAGAGAAACAGTGTGGGCTGCCATACTTGGCAGGAGATGAAGTTAGTTGGAATCTATATGAAGGGTCTTTACTTACTGTTGTGAGATATTTGGGCTTCATCTCATGTCACAACACCCTACTAAGCAATGAGAAGAATACAAAAAAAAAGTTACCCTTAAGTACCCTTCAGGTATGCATCTAGCATGGACTATGGCCCATAATAGCCATTTAATAATTGTAGGAAAAAAATGAGTTATCAAGTGCTAAACATGTGACTCAGGGAAATGGGTGCTGCAAGAACCAAAGAAAGAAAAACTACTATGCACTAGAGAAGACAGAGCTGGGCTCACAAATATGGGGAGGTGTTATGAGCTGCATGCAATAGTTTTCTATTTGTTGCTCTAACAAATTACAACAAGTTTAGTGGCTCAAAATTAACTTTTTTTTTTTTTTTTTTTTGGTACTGCGGATTGAACCCAGTGGTGTTTAACCACTGAGCCACATCCCCAGTCCTTTTAGAGACAGAGTCTCACTAAGTTGCTTAGAGCCTTATTAAATTGCTGAGGCTGGTCTTGAATTTGCAATCCTCCTTGCCTCAACATGCGCCATCCACACCCAGCATACCTAAAAGAGTTCCCTAGGTTAGAAATCAGACTAGGATCTCACTGGACTAAAATCATGGTGTCCGCAGGGCTGCGTTTCTTTAGAGTCCACAGAAGAGGATCTGTTTTCTTGTCTTTTCCAGCTTCTAGAGGCTGTCTACATTCCTTGGTTCGTGGCTCCCTCCATCTTCAAAGCTGGCAATTGCAGGGTTGAGTCCTCACATCACATTGTTCTGACCTTGCTTGTCTTACACACCTCCTTCTTAGACTTCCTTCTTCTACCTTCCTCCACATTTTTTTTTTTTTTTTTTTTTCTGGTACTAGGGATTGAATCCAGGGCCTTGGGTGCTTGGTAGGCTGGGATTACAGGTTTGCACAACCATTGAGCTTTATCTTTTTATTTATTTTGAAACGGTCTCACTAAGTTGCCCAGGCTGACCTCCTGCCTCCTCCCAAGTAGCTGGGATGCCACTGCACCTGGCTTCCCTCTCTACTTTTCCTTTTCTGAATCAAACCTAGGGCTGTACATGGCAAGTACACACTATCACAAAGCTATCTTCCAGCTAATTTCCATATTTCAAAGCCATCTATCTGATAGAAACCTTTCTATCCCCTTATCCGTTCCTGGTACTGGGGATTGATTCCAGGGATGTTTTACCACCGAGCTACATCCCTAGTCTTATTTTTTTGAGACAAGATCTGAGTTTCCCAGGTTGACCTTGTACTTTAGATTCTCTGGCTTTAACTTCCTGAGTAGCTTGGATTTCAGGAGTGCACAACCATGCCTGGCCTGATGGTGACCTTAACTCCCCTTTGCTATGCAACCTGTGTAACCTAACATATTCACAGGTTTATTTGTGTGTGTGTACAAATATAAGTAACCCAGGGGCACTTAACCACTGAGTCACATACCCAGCCTTTTTATTTTTTATTTGCAGACAGGGTCTCACTAAGTTGCTTAGGACCTTGCTTAATTGCTGAGGCTGGCCTGGAACTTACAATTCCCCTGCCTCAGCCTCCTGAGTACTGAGATTACAGGCTTGTGTCACCATGTCCAGCTTCAGATAAGGACATCTTTGAGGGGTCATTCTGTGTGAGAATTAACATCCTGGCATGAGTTGTTAGTGCTGATGTTAACACGATAGGCTTCTGTTAGCAGTGATTTATGTTTACATACACACACCAAAAGAAAGCTGCAAGGAGACCTGCTTAGCAAGAAGGAAGGATTTATGCTGGAGCTGCAGAAAAGAAAAATTGGAGGGACCAAGAGGTGGGATTAGTTTTATTTTTATTTTTTGAGGATGAACAATGAAATCTGAATTACTTGTTTGGGGTGTTTTTGTTTTTTTTTTTGTGGTGTGTTGCTGAGAATCAAACCCAGAGCCTCATGCATGCTGTGTGAGTGTTCTGCCACTAAGCTGTACCCCCTGCTTAAACGGGAGCTGGGAGTATAACTCAAAAACAAATTTTAAACAGTAAAGAAGAGTAAAGTTCAGTGTTATTTTCACTACACTATTTAGAGGCTACCAGGGTTACCCTCCAGAGACACTGAACCTGAATACATACAAGCCCATTTTATATATGCATGTATGTCTCCCCAGTCCCCCCAGTGCTGGGATTTAAAATCAGACCCTCATTTGTGGTACTGGGATCAAACCA